ATAAAGGGAGTTAGAACCCCTCCCCTTATTCTGATGTGGATTTAGTCAAACAAAGAACCAACATGTTAGTCCCCCCCCCCTTTTTTTTCTGGGAATGTATTTTAGAAGAGTTTCCCAGGGAGTATCTTCCAGAGCTGGAATTTTTATGGTCCCTTCTCCTCTTGCTATCTAAGAGGTGACAAGTTTCTAGACATCTGGCTCCAGTCCTCCAGTTGTATATCATGTGCAAGTTATACAGATTCAATATAAGGTTTAAGATATTCAAGTTACATCAAAAAGGATTACTTGTACCAATTTCCTCCCCGCCCCCCTTCTTCTTCCGTTGAAGAATGGCAGATACACGGATCTGACAGCAGAGCTACTAAACTCATTTTATGCACCTGTCTTTATACGGGGAAAAAACAGTCTAATCCAGGGGTACCAAACTGGATTTCTTCGAGGGCCGGATCAGCATTGTAGTTGTCCTTGATGATGGTGGCAGTGGGGGGAGAGATGCGAAGGCAGCACCTTGCTAGCCAAAACTGGGGGGGGGAAATAGATCCAGGAAACTACAGACCTATCAGCCTGACCTCAATATCTGGGAAGATTCTGGAAAAAATAATCCAGCAACAAATCAACAAACATCTAGGGGCAAACAAAGTCAGAACCAAAAGCCAACATGGGTTTGTTATAAACCCAACATGGGTTTGTCACCATGCCAGACAAATCTTATTGCATTCTTTGACAAAGTGACAAAATTAGTGGACCATTGGAATGCTGTTGATATAATTTACTTGAACTTCAGTAAAGCATTTGATAAAGTAGGCCGCAAACTACTACTTGATAAGATAGAAAAACGTGGGTTAGAGCAGTGGTCGCTAACCGGTGGGCTGGGGACCACAAGAAAATGTTGGTGGTTCACAGAGAGATGTCCCCCTAAAGCAATTAATCCGGGCTGCACGGGAACACAAGGATGCACCGCCCACCCACTGGCCCTCACCCTTCGGCCAAGTGCAAACCTTACCTTGAGTAGAGCCATGCGAGCTGAAACTGGAAGGTAAGACCAATGGCAGGAGAGAGAAATCTGCCCTGGGGTGGCTTGCTGACATTGGTGGGAAAGTTGGTCCCATATTCCGGAGCTGCAGTTGTCACAAGACTGTCCCTTTGGTCATTCCAGAACAGTTCCTCCAGTCCATGGCAGGCTGGTGTACCCGGGTTGGAAGAGCAGCTGCTGCGGGATGACCAAAAGGCCAGTCCTGTGACTACTGCAGCTCTGGAATATGGGACCGACTTTCCCACCAAACGTCAGCAAGCCACTGTCAGGCAAAATTCATATTAGTGGTCCACGGGATTTAAAATTATGAGTTTGATGACCCCTGGGTTAGAGAGCATCATCACCAGATGGATTCGTAACTATCTGACCAACTGCATAACATATAGTTCTCAATGGAACTGTATGTACATGGAGGGAAGTATGCAGTGGGGTACCCCAAGGCTCTGTTTTAGGCCCAGTATTCTTCAACATCTTCATCAATGATTTGGATGAAGGGGATAAATGGGGAATTCATCAAATTTGCAGATGATACCAAGCTGGCAGGAATAGCCCAAACTCCAGAAGATAGGCTTAAGATACAGAAGGATCTTGACAGATTTGAACACTGGGCCCTATCTAACAAAATGAAGTTCAATGGTGAAAAAAGAAAGGTTCTACATTTAGGCAAGAAAAGCCAAATGCAGTTATATTATAGGTGGTACCTTGCTCAATAGTAGTAACTGTGAGACGATTTTGGAGTCCTAGTGGACAATCCACTTAAATATGAACCAGCAGTGTGTTGCAGTTGCCAAAAAAGCCAACACATTTCTACGCTGCATTAATAGAGGGATAGAATCAAGATCACATGAAGTGTTAATACCATTTTGTAATGCCATGGTAACACCACACTTGGAGTACTGCATCCAGTTTTGCTCGTCACAATGTAAAAAAGATGTTGAGACTTTCTAGTGTGCAGAGAAGAGCAACAAAAATGATTAGGGGAGAATGGTTGCTAGAATTAGGTATGTCTAGTTTAATGAAAAGAAGGATTAGAGGTGACACGTTAGCAGTGTTCCAATATCTTGGGGCTATTACAAAGAAGAGGGAGTCAAACTATTTTCCAAAGCATCTGAGGGCAGGACAAGAAGCAAGGGATGGAAACTAATAAAGGAGAGAAGCAACCTCGCGCTAAGGAGAAATTTCCTGACAGAACAATTAATCAGTGGAACAAATTGCCTTCAGGAGTTGTGAATGCTCCAACACTGGAGGCTCTTATGAAAAGACCGGGCAGCCACTTATCTGAAATGTTATAGGAAGTTGTGAATGCTTCAATACTGGAAGTTTTAAAGAAGAGATTGGACAACCATTTGTCTGAAATGGTATAGGGTTTCATGCCTGAGCAGGGGGTTGGACTAGAAGACCTTCAAGGTCTCTTCCAACTATGCTATGCTATGCTATGCTATGCTATGCTATGCTATGCTATGCTATGCTATGCTGTTATTCGATTCCATTCTACTCTACTATCTACTCAAGTAAACTAAGAATATTATAAAAGTGGGTTCTTTCACTATTTTGAATAGTATTTTAATCTTTAAATTTATTCTATATTTTATAAATATTTTACATTTAAGCATTTAAATGCCAGTATCTACTCTGAAAAAAAATATAAACAACATAAAAGAATATAAAATCACACTTCAGTTTGATGGGTTTACATCACATCAGCTTTCTGAAATTTAGTTTTAAGTAGACACATATGCAGTGCAATTGTACCCTTAACACTCTACTTAGCGGAAATATGCCTTTAAAAACAAATAGTATTTTGCTTTTAATAGAATTTTGGTTCCAGTTATATTACAAAATGAATCACTCTTAAAATATTAAAAAGAGCACCAATAAGTTCACTCAAATGCTTTATCTAATCCTGCCATATGAACTATTTATTTACTAAAGTAAACAATTAAAGTAGAAAGGCCTGCAGTCCTTTTTCTAGAGTACATGTCACAGCAGTTATATCTAAAGATATTTCAGAAATCTGTCTACTTTCCATCTGTTTAATTTCTAGCAGAATAACTAACTGAAAGTTCATGTGAAAGTTTATTTGGAGTTCTAATGTGTCATAGTAGGCCATTTATAAGCTAAAAGTTCATTTGAAGGTTAAAATACACTGTTTAAATGCTGCTCCTGCTTAATGAAGAAATTTTGAGCAAATAAAGCACATTTTGAGAAAATATTTAGGTTAGTTTTATGTCCTTGCCCAATAGGACTGATATCATGCAAGGAGTATATTAAAAGTGGCCTATTTGGTATTATTAATGCTTCGTTGATCAAAGGCAGCATATATTCAGTAAAACCTTAAGTTTATTTAGTTATTCAATGGATATCCCATCTTTCTGCTCTGATGATTACATTATGGAGGAACAATATTTTAAAATTGCATGCAAAATATTAAAAATTAATGTTAAAATGTATTAATAATTAAAAGTTTGCAAATAGAAATTTATAAGGTCTTAAATTCAGAAATGTAGGCAAAAGTCAATGACAATAAAGCAGTGCAGTGTGCAAATAAATAATTAGCAATAGCTATTAAAGTTGGCAGATCTTTTCAAACCAGTTTCTATCAATGTCAGAGAATAATATAACTCTGGTTTATTTCCTTTTATCAAACTCCTTTCCCACTGTCATTCTGAACACATATTTTTTAGGTGTTGCTCAGCCAGCCCTGGAGAATGATCTTTTCCAGATCTCTTGATCATTTTCTCATTTGATGCATGCAGAACTCATTATTGCATAATCTCTCTTCATTCCATGCATTAAGTTACATTAGAAGTCATTAAACCTCATTTAAAACATGTAATAAATATGCAATAATCTTGGTATAATTTAGAAACGGCATATTTTTGATAGGTAGTTATGAAAGCATTGCATGTCTATTTATTTGGAGTCCAGAAAGTAGCAGCATTTGCTGACATTGGCCACTCTCAAAAAGCTAAGCAGAAATGTAGTTGGTAAAAGCGCCAAGAAATTTCAGGGCTATAGGTTAGACTGGGAAATGGATAACATATCCCATAAGAAGGAATAGAAAATCATTTCTATATTGTTTCCTCCTCAAAATTACACAGTTCAAAGTCACCAAGAGTTGAACTCAATTTTGGGGGGAACTTTTATTTAACTTTTCACTTAAGACTAACATTTTTTCCCCTCTTCCTTCCATTCCATTAACATTTGCACTGTATTATTCAGATTAAATACAAACTGGCAAGATTTAGCTTTTACTAATAATATGAAATACGCAATGTGATTTTTTCCCAATGAAAGTTTAAAAAAATAAACTATGAGTCAAGGTGAGTAGGGTGCCTCCAGTTTAAGGCTGATTTCATCACTGTTTTTAGCAAGTCATAATACAGTAAAAATTACAACATGTTTATCACGACATACTTCTGTGCAAATGGCAAAATTATGTCATGAAGTCTGCCAAAACTGTGTAAATAATAATAATTTAACTTTCAGACAGATTCTCACCCATGGATCTCCATCTCAAGTTCTCTGCTTCTACGCTGTTACATGAACATGAATTTAAAGTCAGTATTTACAATAACCTGATTTGACACTCACACATTGATACGTTGAAATGAAAAAAGTGCCACAATGCAAGTATGTATATGACACTCACTCCACCACCAGCACTCATTTTTCTTCTGCATCAAAATCTGCACATCATAATTCTTCAAACCAGTGTTTCTCAATCTTAGGAACTATAAGGTGTATGAGTTCAACTCTCAGAATTCCCCAGGCAGCCTTAGACAATGGGAACTATGAATGAATAAACTTTTCATAGAAGAGTGATTCCTCTTGACATCCACATAAAATGACATTCACTTCATCCACTATGACATTCACATAAAAGCATTCTTTTTCTCAAACAACAATAAAACTGTATATACCCCTGTCATTTCCCTAGTATAATGCAATATCAGCAGACACTGACCTGCAATTTCAGTAAGGGAGACTTGAGAAAAATCACATGTGACATCTGGTAAGAGATATGCTTTAGGATTATCAATTTCATATACCAATTGTTCTGCCACAGTGCCAAAAGTCACCAGGCCTCCTGTGTCAGGTGCTTTAGATACAGTAAAACTTCCATCACAAGAAACTTCTACTATGGGGAAACCGATGTTATGCCTAAAAGTTCAAAATATTAAATTTAATTATATGAAAAGTATATCAATAATGTATTTCAGGGGAATGTTTATGTGGTTAAAAATAGTGGTAAACAAATTATCAAAATGTATACCAGTTGTTTTTTTAAGTCCTTTTAGCTCAGCTCCTTAATTTAATCGTACAGACAACCAAATGACCAACTGAATAAACCAATTAGATACATAAAAGAGACAAAAGTATCAAAGCTTAAAAAAGAGCTATCAATATGTAAGCAATATCAGTCCAAGAAAACATATAGCACAATCTTTTTCATGTTGCAATAAAAGTATCAAAACAAAACAAAATCAGATATTAATTGCTTTTGTTGCATCTCACTTTTACATTACAGCTTTGGTGAGATTTAATTCAAGCAAACGTATTATGGGAAAAATGTATTTTTCCCAAGTTATCAGCCATTCTGCAATCTTTAACATTCTTTGCCTACTTCTCAGAACAATTCCTAGTCATTCTATATGAGGTTCAGTGCCTACATTTGCTACCTGTATTATTTTACAACAGGTTTCAACTAATTGAGGTATTCGGAGTCAGCCATACTGCAATCAAAATGCAGTAGAGATTGCAAACACGTGGCCTTTCATGCAAGGGAAAGAGTTGCCAGAAAGAAACAGCAAGGACAAAATGGAGAATGTTGTGGCTATAGCAGCTATAGAATGTTGTCTATAGCAGCTTTAACAAATTGCAGCCACATCTTCATGGACATGAACATGACAGCTTATTAAAAATCGAAGTATGAAACACAGCAGAGATAAAATAATGCTATGCTATAATGAAACATGCTAACACATTATGAGCTAGCACCAATTCACAAACTGACTACTGTGGGCAGATTGTAATGGCACAATTGATTTTTTCAGCATTGTCAGTAACTTTTATTTAAAGATGGATCACAGAAACAAGTGCCAATTGGCAAGAGGTATTTCTCATCACAAGGCATTAATTCTAAGGGGGAATAAACATAATAACATCTACCTTTGTACTCTCCCAGGACCCAGCAGTTTTTTTCAGTTTTAACTCCAAGTTCCATAAAAATCTAACTAGCACTCGTTTCCCAGGAGATGACATAATTAAACAAGCTCTCTATTATCTTAGCCATGCCATTGTTGAGCTGCACTACTGAATTTTTTTAAGCACGCAGTGGCTGACAGCTCTTAAAATGATGAATCAATCTCATTCCACAAAAAACTACATATCTTTTCTTATGAAGAGCCTGGATTCTAGGTCTGTAGCTACAAAACACCTATTTAGGACATGTTGGGACTAGGTTATTTATTGTAAGACTAATGTATTTAAAGTGAAATCAAATTAAAGTTGTACTTAAAAGACTAAACTGGCTTATTTTCTAGCTTATTTTTAAACAGGAAACATTATAATAGAAATTCTAGTAGAATTTCTATTCGAAATATTCCAACAGAAATTCTAGTAGAATTTCTATAAGGAGATTGATATAAAGGTTACTTAGCGTCAAAGTTATTTTTGAAGATATATTTTTTGTAGAGATATTAATATGATCATAGGCTGAATAGTGTCTTTATAACTCTTATCATTCAGCAATCTAAGTATTAAAACATATTACAAAAATATTCACCAACATGTATTTTGGTGGAGAATAAACATACCAGTTGGGCACAGTATGCCAGTCAGTGAATATTCCACCTGTACATTGAGCCCCACATTCAATCAGATGACCTGCAAGACTAAAAATCACATTTGATATTTAAACTATTTTAATGAAGTGAATTTAAAAACTTAACATCTACTGAGAGTTTCTATTGTATAATATCTAATGTTTAGACAAACAAATCTTTATTACATCCAAACTGATATCCTGTTGACAGAGACTGAAATATCACTAAACTATTGGTTCAGGGATTTTGACCATTGTAATATTTTAACAGTATTAAAATTAACAGTATTCTTTGAAACAAAGATGATATTTACCTTCCCGCTGCTAATAGGCTGAATTCATCTCTAGTCCATCCAAACTAGAAAAATAAATGTTTAAAAATACACATTGAAATAAAATTAAATAGTGAAAAGAATGTTAATCACATTTCCCAAAGCTCATAAAAATTCATAAGACACCCTCCATCATCCATCCAATTTCCTTTTTCCTATTTTTATAATTTGCCTGTGCAACTATAAAGTAAGCAGAGAAAATACTCTAGTGACCTAGCAATCCATTGGAAATCATTGTCTTGTCTTTCACTTAGGTTGTACATTTGACAATTAGACCAACAAAGGCAAAAGAAGAAGGTAGCACCACATATATGCATCTCTCTCTCTCCCTCTCTCTCTCTCTCTCATACACACATACACACACACACACACTCATACACAGAAACAGACCCACACATATAGTGCATGTGTGTATATGTATGGGTATATACACACACATTTCACATTTCTAAATTGCCTCTCAAAGAGGGACTCTTTGTATGTGTATATGTATGTGCTTTGTATGTGTGTGTGTGTGTATATGTGTGATATCTCTCCCTCCCTCCCTCCCTCTCCCTCCCCCACCTCTCTTATTACCATTAGTTTCCCAGGAGATGACATAATTAAACAAGCTCTCTATTATCTTAGCCATGTCATTGTTGATCTGTACTACTGAATATTTTTAAACACTCAGTGGCTATCAGCTCTTGAAATGGTGAATAAATCTCATGCCACAAAAAAAACCTCCTCAATTCCAATATATCTTTCCTTATGAAGAGCCTGAATTCTAGGTCTGTAGCTACAGACCACCTATCTAGGACATGTTGGAACTATGTTATTGTAAAACTAGTGTATTTAAAGTGAAATCAAATTAAAATTGTACTTAAAAGACTAAACTTAGCTTATTTTTAGCTTATTTTTAAGCAAGAAACATACCAATAGAAATTCTATAAGGAGTCTGACATAATAGCAATAACACTTAGACTTATATACCGCTTTATAGTGTTTTACAGCCCTCTCTCAAAGCGGTTTACAGAGTCAGCATATTGCCCCCAACACTCTGGGTCCTCATTTTACCCACCTCGGAAGGATGAAAGGCTGAGTCAATCTTGAGCCTGGTAGGATTCGATCCGCCAAATTGGAGCAGGAGTAGCTTGCAGTACTGCACTCTAACCACTGTGCCACTGAGGCTCCTTAGTTACTTAAGCTTACTTAGTGACAACATTGTTTTTAGTACTTCACTGACAGCACCTTCACAAAAGCCAGGGATGAATCGGTGAACCGGTTGTTAATTTTATGGCCAGTTTGGTGAACCAGCAAATCACACTCCTGGCTGGCCCCGCCCACCCCTCCCCTCCCCGGAGTCCCTACACGAGTTGTTTTGGATGGCAGGTAAGTGCAGGGCCTGTGTGGAGGCTCAGGGAGAATGAAAAAAATGGGCCTCCTGGAAGTTCTGGAGGGCCTGAAACGCCTGTTTCTGGCCTCCCTCGGAGGGCGAAAATGTCCCCCCACGACCCATTTTTGTTCCAGGCCAGGGTGGTGCAGGAGGCCAACTAGGCCACCCCCCACCATGGCCATGCCAACCCAGCAACCGGGCACAGAACTGGTTGCTAAACTTTTTGAAGCCCACCCTTAACAAAAGCTTAACATGGCTCATATTCTAGAAACAATCCAGTGATAGATGCATATACTAAAAATATATATATATAATAAAATTTGAACAAGTCTCTTCTCTAAATTCAGATGTAAGTAAGTACTTCATTATGGAAACATTTAACCAGAGGTGGTATTCAGCAAGTTCTGACCAGTTCTGGAGAATGGTAGCGGAAATTTCGAGTACTTCGGAGAACCAACAAATCCCACCTCTGACTGGAGATTTTATAGTATCCTTCCCCTGCCACGCCCACCAAGCCACGCCCACAGAACCGGTAGTAAAAAAATTTGAATCCCACCACTGCATTTAACTACGCCAAGAGTTCAATGGATAATGTTTGAAATTAATAAATTAATATGTCTTCCTTGAATTTCAGTTCCTTATTTCCAACAAGGTAAATATTTCAATCCAACACTACCTTGTAGGTCATATGTTGCTGAATTGCCCAAAAGCAACTAATGAAAGATAGAGTCTTAGTAAGGATGAAGAAGCATCTTTGAACTTCATAATGTGAGGGACTCTTTGTATATGTATATTTGTTTTTGTTTTTGTAAATAAATTTTTAAATTTTATTTAAAGTACATACATTCATCTTTCATTTAACGGTGTGTCATCTGGTTACAAAAGTCTTGTGCCATAACAATTAAATTTTACAACCATATTCATTTTTTTAAATACTAATTCTCTGTTCTTATCATATTATAATATTAGTATACAAATCATTTCTATTACTATAACATTTCTCTTCTTTACATATTCAATTCTATTAACATATTTTCTGTATTTCAATGGTCTAATAATTATTTCTAGCTTTCATATTTTTTCTCTAGCCATTGATAAAATAATTCCCATATCTGATAATATTCAGTTTGTTCCTTCTCTTCAATTGCAAGTGTTAATCTGTTCATTTCTGCACATTCTATTATTTTCCTTATTACATCCTATTATTACATATTCTATTATTTTCCTTATTACATAAAACCATTTTGATCTGGATGTATAAATTGATTTAAAAATCTCTTTAACCTTTCTGCTATTATTGATGCAAATATTTTGTAGTTTGCGTTCAATAAAGATATCGGTTTATAGTTTTTAATCTGTTGCAAGTCTCAGTTTTCCTTCGGTATGAGAGTAGTTTATGCTTCCATCCAAGAATTTGGTACTTCCGCCTCAATCAGTAGTTCATTAAATACTTCCAACATTGGGTTGCTTAAAGAGTCTTGTAATGTTTTATACAGTTCTGCTGGTAGTCCATCCAGGCCTGGTGTTTTGCCATTCTTTTGTCTGTTAATTGCTTCTGTTAATTCCATCATTGTTATTCTTTCTTCTAATGTTACTTTGAACAGTAAAAGTTCTCAAATCCCAGGAAGCTTTGTAGTTGCATGTAGGAAGAAGCCCACTCTAGCACTGTCTGCACCTTTTCGGGGTTCATCTCTATTCCCTTATGTAGATGTGGTAGCCCAGATAGTTGATTTTAATCTGATAGAATTTGCATTTGCAGCTTGGGATATAGTTTGGCTGCTTGAAGCTTCTTGAGCACAGCTCTGACTAGTTTTACATGTTCTGCCATTGTTTCAGTATAGATTAAAATGTCACCAGGTAAGCTAACATTTCCTTGTATAGGTGTTCCTGCAACACTTCATTTATTAGCTAAATAACATAGCAGGGGCCCCTTGCAGTCCAAAAGAGAGGAACCAGAAGCATCCTAAGGGGCAATTGAAATCAGTTTTTCACTCATCCCCTGCTTTGATCCTCACTTGGTAGTACACCTCCCGCAAATCCAACTTGATGAAGACCTTTTCTTTGGCCAAATGGGCCAGCATGTCCTTCATGCAGGGGAGTGGATAAAATTTTCTACACACAGAGAGCATTAAGTCCATGATAGTCAGTGCATAGACAAAAGGACCCATTCTTTTCCTTAAATACTACTGGGGCAGCCACTCTGTCTGGGGGGTTGGGTGAATCCATGCTTCAGGTTTTTGTCTTTAAAAATCTGCAATTCCTTCAGTTCCCTAGCGGGCATGGAATACAATTTGGGTTTGGGCAGTTTGGCCTCCGGTAGGATTTCTATGTAACAGTCAGCTGACTGGTAGAGTGAGAATGCGTCTGACCCCTTCTCACTGAAGATGCTCCATAAGTCCCAGTATTTCTTGTGAATCTGAGGGTCACCTTGGGGCTGATCTTTGGCAGCTACTCCCACCTCCCTTTTCAGTTTCGCCTGCTGCAGCTTTGGGTAAGTTTTGGATGGCCCTTTCCCCCTCCTCCTTCACAGGCAGCAAGTAGCCCCTTCCACCAGTTTACACAAGGGTTCCATTTCTGGAGCCAAGAAAGTCTTAACACAAGGGGCCTTTCCATTCCAGGAGCTAGGATGAAGCTCAGGGTCTCTGTGAGTGCGCCCCATCCTCATCGCTATTGGTTCAGTAACAAATATTGCTGCCCCCAACACCACTGAGCCGTCCAGCTGGCAAAAAGCTATGAGCACTTTAAGCTGTTTGAGTCTCATGCCCAGTTTCTTGACTAGGGCAGTTTGACCAGGTATCTGGTGCATCCTGAGTCCACTAGGCTCCCTTTCACCCTGAGGATTGAATCACCAGTTCTATAGGGATGGTCACTAGGTTGACAGGGCAACTTACCAAGGGATCATCATTGTAGTCCGACTTGCTTTTCACTGGACTGCCCACTGGGTCAGTTGGAGTTACCTCACCCTCTTTGAGGGATGGGGTGAACTTTACAACTTCTACTCCCTTCAGAGCGGTTTCTTGGACTCATTGTTGTGGTTTTGCTGGTTTTTTGGCAGGATCCAGTTGCCTTCTGGGCTGGGCAAGAGCTTGGCAGTCAGCAGATCAATGTCCCTCCTTCCAACACCTGAAGCAGCCACTGGATCATCAGCATGAGCTCTGCTCATGGTGCCAGTTTTGGGGCCTCTTTTTTGGGCGGGGGCTTCACCATCCATGGCTTGGCTAGTATTTGGATCAAGCCAGGTCAATTTCCACTTCCTCTGCTAGGACATACCAGCCATGAAGGGGATGTGTGTGTGGGGGGGGGTGCCTCTGGAAATGCAGGTGTTGTAGACCTTGTCACTTAGCCCATCTTGGAAGCATCCAATCATGATGTCTTCTGGCCAGTTAGTCAGTCAGCAGGTCAAGTCATGAAACTCTGGGTATACACAGCCACCCCTCCTGTGTCATTGGATGATGATCTTTATGTGACTTCTGCTTTGAGGGTCTGGTACCTTGCGTCCTCTCTGCTTTGCTGGTGCTGTTTTATTTTATTTTATTTATTTATTTATTTATTTGATTTGATTTGTCAATCACTTACAAGATAATAGGTATAAGTATATACATAGTTATGAATACATGAAATGGGTACATATAAGAAAAATAAAAGAAACAATAGGACAGGGACGGTAGGGACGTTGATGCGCTTATGCACGCCCCCTACAGACCTCTTTGGAAAGGGGTGAGATCAATAGTAGACAGTCTAAGGTTAAAGTTTTTGGGGTTTGGGGAAGAAACCACAGAGTCAGGTAGAGTATTCAAGACATTGACCACTCTGTTGCTGAAGTCGTATTTCCTGCAATCAAGTTTGGTGCGGTTAACCTTGAGTTTGTATCTATTGTGTGCTCTTGTGTTTTTAAGGTTGAAGCTGAAGTATTCATTGACAGGTAGGACATTGCAATGTATGATTTTATATACTATACTTAGATCAGACTGAAGGTGGCGTACTTCTAGTTTTTTAGGTCTAGAATTTCAAGTCTGGTGGCATAAGGTATTCTACTACGAGTAGAGGAGTGGAGAACTCTTCTTGTGAAATATTTCTGGACTTTCTCAACTGTGCTGATATCAGATACGTAATGTGGGTTCTAGACTGATGAGCTGTATTCGAGTATTGGTCTAGCAAATGTTTTGTATGCTCTAGTTAGTAGTGTGATATTACCAGAGAAAAAGCTACGTAGGATTAGGTTAACAACTCTTAATGCCTTTTTGGCTGTGTAGTTACACTGGGCTCTAGCACTTAGATCATTAGAGATGAGTATTCCAAGGTCCTTTACAGAGCTTGGATCATCAACAAGGTCTTGACTATTCAGCTTGTATTTTATTTTCTGACTTTTTTTGCCAATATGTAAGACAGAGCATTTATTTGTTGAGATTTGAAGTTGCCATTTGTTTGACCATTCTGATACATAGTCGAGGTCTTTTTGAAGGGTAGCAGTATTGTCTCTGGTGTTGAATAGCTTTACATTGTCAGCAAAGAGAACGCAGTTGCTCTTAATGTGATCACAGAGGTAATTTATGTAGAGTATGAAGAGAGTTGGTCCTCGAACACTGCCTTGGGGGACACCACTATTGACAGGTACAGAATTTGATAGGACACTCCCAATTTTGACCATTTGTTGTCTGTTTTACAGGAATGCTTCTATCCAGTTATGTAGATGTCCAGAGATACCATAAGATTTTAGTAGTAGTTTATCGTGCACCACTGAATCAAAGGCTTTACATAAGTCTATGTAGATTGCGTCTATTGCTTTGCTCTGATCGAGCTGTGTAGTCCATGTTTTTGCAGTGTAAAAGTTGTAGATTATAGGATAGTTTTTTTCTGAAACCAAATTGTTTATTAGAGAGTAGGTTGTTTGCCTCTAAGTGGAGGATAATGGATTGGTTAATAATTGATTCCATGACTTTACAGGTGACGCAGCATAAAGAGATTGGTGATAATAATAAGCGGATGAGGCTGGGCTGTGGGACCAGATGCTGGTGGGGGGGCTGTGATTACTTAGGAGCTTGCTGTTTCTGCCATTGCGGTGGCAGAGGTAGTTTCCCTCTCACTTGCTGTGGCTGGAGTTGGCTGGTCAACTGGATGTGCCACCCAGGCTAGGGCTTCTTGAGCTTTGAGACTACCAAAAGCTCCTCAGGAACTTTATGGTTTGCTCCAACATCCAGTCCTCTCGTTCTGGCTAGCTTGCGCTTGATTCTACCTCCAGTTCCTCCAGATCCACTTGGGTCTCTCGCCAGTGGCCCCCACATTCTCCATGGGTAAATAAATGACACTCCCATGGGTTTCTCTTCCCATTGTTCCACATCTTAGTGAGTTGTCCTCTCCCTCTCCTGTACAAGCCATTCAGATAGATCCAGCCCTCCAGGACAGGGTTTTGAGGGTGCTTCCCCCAAGCCAAAATCTCTTCCTAGTCGCTCTTTGAACCAACATTGTTTGCATGGTCCTCATGGTGGAAGTGGTTTCCTTTCTAGGTTGACCACAACTGCAGAGCTGGCTTAATGTCAAACCTGCCTCAATCTGATTCCTTAGGAAAGAAAAGCCTTCGACTCCATTTGGTTAAAACAAAGGGTACTTTTACTAAGGATGTTGGTTGCAGTAAAATCAAACCAGCTCTGAAATTTGTGGCGCTTGCTAGATAACAAAAATAAGGTGCATGTTTTCCCCCAGCCCATCCCTCCCCCTGTGACCAGTCCACTTCCAGCCAATCAGAGCCTGCCAAGATGTTTTGAGAACTCTGAGCTGTTGGGAGTTAATCCACATATTTCTCAGGATACCTGGCGATAGGATGCTGGTACAAACAGGATCCAGCTGCCCTGGTCCATACCACCTGTCATTTCCCCCCTTGCTGTTTTCTATCACATACACACAAAGCGTTATTTCCCTTTCATCCTTTCCCCCTTCTGCTTTTGATGGCAGGATGCCTGTGAGGTCCCAAGCTGAACTAGTCAGAGCTGACACCATCCGTCCATCCATCCATCCATCCATCCATCCATCCGACTTCCAAATATCTTTAAAACAGGATCCAGTGCAAAACTTTTCAAACCTAACTTGTTAATATTAAGCACTTGTGGTTTCTAAGTCAAAAAGAACCCCCTTAATTTAAACATGTTTTGGTTGTTTCTTCATAAGTTGACCATTTCTGCCATCTTGTGGTGGACTGAATTGTTTGCAAGTTGTAGTTAAAGAAATTCAGATGAAAGAAAAGTTGATGCTGTATTATTTTGAAAAGCAGCACATATGTTTAAAATATAGAATGAAAAACAGCATTAAAAATCTCTCTTTGAAATTAATTGGTTTTTCTTAGAAAAAGAACAGTGCATACCATATTTTTTGTAAAAGAGAAGAAAATTGTCACAACCACAAATTTAAAAGTTGTTATTTCAGAATTTCAATTAATAGTTGCATCTGTGTAAGAAATCTAAATTAATCGAATTTCAGTTTATCATATGCATAACTATTTCTTAACAGATGTATATTTAATTTAGAGTAAAGATATTACAGAAACCTAACCTATATATATGCAAATATTGCCATACATGGGACTTTAGTTGTGTTTGGTTTGGTTTATTTCTCTTTTAAATATAGGAAAGATGGACATTATGAAATTTCTCACTTGAAATGTGAGTAGCAAGTTCTAGTTCTGCAATTAACAAATAATATGGGCAGAGGTAGTCTTCAACTTACAACAGTTTGTTTAGTGACTGTTCAAAGTTACAACAGCGCTGAAAAAAAGGGTCTTATAACTGTTTTTCACATTTATGACCATTCCAGCATCCCCATGGTCACATTATCAAAATTCAGATGCTTGGCAACTGGCTTATATATATGACTGTAACCATCGTAAATATTGAGCCAGTTGCCAGGCATCTGAATTTGATCATATTTGTGGCATTCTGACAAGCAAAACCAATGGGAAATCCAGATTCACTTAACCATATTACTATGATTCACTTAACAACGAGAAAGATTGTAAAAACTCACTCAACAACTATCCTGCTCAACAATGGAAATTTGGGGCTCAATTGTCAAACTACCAATACAGCATCTGTCCAAGCAAATATCCCATAAAAATGCCTGGCCCTTAAATCTTTTAAAACTTGCATTGGGAAGAAACTGAACTAAGAAAAGGAAATCACATTAAGAGGAGAACATTATTTCTTCCTTATGACAAGAATTAGCAACAGACGGTGTTTATTGCCAGAAGGTTATAGGGTGGAACAGAAATAAATATATCGATATGTACATGGGGCTTAGGTTGGGAGGAAGGATAAGTTTGAGCTGGAAGAAGGGAAGGGAAATTTACTTCCTATGTAATGTATGTGTTAGCTGTGTTGCAGGAATTATTGTGGATTCTTATGGTTGGGATAACTGGTGGCTGTATGAAAGAAGACATGTGATTTTTCTAAAGGCAAAGACAAGTCAAGTCATATTATACTAGGAAGAACAAATGCTGCATTACAATGAAAACACACTGGTTTCAACAGATGTAGAAAACAACAGTTGAAATTGTACTGTATAAAAATCCATAAAGATGGCTAATACAGGTAGTTTTCAACTTACAACAGTTAATTTAATGACCATTTAAAGTTACAGAGGTATTGAAAAAAGTGTCTTACGAGCATTTTCCACACTTATGACCATTGCAGCTTCCCCCGTGGTCATGTGATTTACATTCACTGGTACAACTGGTTGACAACTGGTTCATATTTATGATGGTTGCGCTGTCCTGGGACCATGTGATCATCTTTTGTGACCTTCTGACAAGCAAAGTCAATGGGGAAGCCAAATTCACTTAACAATCATGTTACTTAAATGATTCACTTAAGAAATGTGGCAAAAATGGGCAAAACTCACTTAACAAATTTCTCACTTAGCAACATAAATTCTGGGCTCAATTGTGGTCTTAAGTCAAGGACTACCAGTATTTTGTCTGGTAAAATGGCTTGTAGAAAAAAAAAATATTTTAAAAATATTGATTCACACTTACAGAATGAATGAGTGGTCCCAACACAAGGCTGCTATCAACACATCTTCCAATCACCACAATATCTGCTCCTTGATCAAGAGCTCTGCTGATTGGTGTTGCGCTGAAGAAACAATTTAGACTTAGGCTTAGAAAACTTTATTGTCAGTTTAAATGTACACTAATCGGCATACATTAAAATGAAATTTCGTTGCATACAGCTCTCCAAGGGTCACCACCTCCAATATACACTAAATAAACATGACACAGTCTAGTCTGGATGTATACGTGTACATGGTGAGAAAATTGAATCTTGCGAGTTTACCAGATGGATCGCGTAGGGAACAAAGCCGTTACAGAATCTGATAGTTCTGCTAGAAATACTTTGAAACCTCCTCCCAGAGGGGAGCAGCAGAAGCAGACCATAAAATGGGTATGTGGGGTCTCTAACAATGCTTCAAGCTCTAAGCACATAGTGCTTATAAGCAGTATCCTGAATAACGGGAAGTAAGTTTCCTATAATCTTCTCAGCTGTCTTTACCACTCTCTGTATGGACCTTCTATTTGAGGCACTGCTACCACCAAACCAAACAGTAATGCAGTTCCGTTCCAAATGCTCTCAATCGTGCGTCTGTAAAAAATGGTCAGGATAGAAGGAGAAAGATGTACTCTCCTCATCTGATGTAGGAAATGCAGATTCTGGTTTGTACGCTTCACTAAGGATGATGTGTGGAGAGACCAGTTCAGATGGCTATATTACTCATTAAAATCTTAGATAGCCTGACAGATTCTATCTTCCAAAAATAAAATAAAAATACTTCAACTGGCTGACAAATTGTACTGAACAAGTCGTCTTTAAGAGTACTATATCTACATTGAGAGAGTAGCGGTGAGATACCACAAGGTTCTATCTTAGGCCCAGTACTCTTTAATATTTTCATAAATAACTTAAATGAAGGAACAGAAGGAGAACTCATCAAATTTTCAGATGACACTAAACTCCTGAAGACAAGCTCAAGATCCAAAAAGATCTTGACAGATTTGAACAACGGGCCCTATCCTTTAACATGAAATGTAATGTGGAGAAAAGCAAGGTTTTACACCTGGGCAGGAAAAACTAAAGATACAAGTACAGTTTAGGCAAAACCTGGCTCAAAAACAGTAACTGTGAGAGGGACCTTGGAGTCCTAGTGGATGATCACTTAAATATGAGTCAGTAGTTTGCAGGGATCCAAGAAATGTGCCACAGCAGCCAAAAGACTTAATACAATCCTTGGTTTTATAAGCAGAGGCATAGCCTCAGGTCCCATATATTTCTATAGGGACACCTGCATTCTCGTGGGAGGGAGGAGGCTTGGAGGGATCTTTTCATGAAGTTTCTGTTTCTATTTCCTGCATTGCTTTGCTGTAACTTTTGGGGCCTTGGGAGGGAGAAAGAATTTGCCTCAAGCCAGGTGCCTTATCTCGTCTCTGGAGAAGAGCAGCAACATTGCCTTGGAGACCGGCATTTATCATCTTCTCAGCCTGGGTTTCTCATAATATCTTTATGTTTCAGAATTGGCTTGACGATGTATTGGACTTCGGGAGGGGCTCTGTCTGCACTGATTTAATTCACTGTGTTTAAGTGGGAAATTTAATTCCTGCCTAGACCTCTTGCTATCACTACCATTCATTAAAAGTTTCCTTTTGAAATGCTTTCTTGAGAGGATTGAAGAGGCAGGACCTTACACATAGAATCAAAATCACATGAAGTATTACTTCCACTTTACAAAGCCTTAGTAAGACCCCCTGGAATATTATATCCAGTTTTGGTCCCCATGTTACAGAAAAGATGTTGAGACTTTAAAAAAAAGGGCAAAGAGCAACTAAGATGATTAAAGGCCTGGAGACTAAAACATATGAAGAAGAGTTGCAGGATTTGGGCTTGGCTAATCTAGAGAAAAAGAAGGGCTTGGGGGGACATGATAGCAGTCTTCCGGTATTTGAGACACTGCCACAAAGAGGAGAGGGTCAATTTATTTTCCAAAGAACCAGAGAGCAAGACAAGAAACAGTGAATGGAAACTAATGAAGGAGAGAAGCAACCTGCAATTAAGGAGAAGCTTTCTAACAGTGAGGACAATTAACTACTGGAACAGTTTCCCTTCAGATATTGTGGGTGCTTCATCATTGGAGGTTTTTCAAGAAGAGACTGTTCAGTCACTTGTCTGAAATTGTATTGGATCTCCTGCTTGAGCAGGGGCTGGACTAGAAGCAGGGGTGGGATTCTACCGGTTCTGTCCACTTCTGTAGAACCGGTTGCTCTGAAAAGTAGCAAACAGAGAGCATACACAGAACCAGTTCTATGTCTGCTGCTGCTTTGGCCCACCCGCCCGCCGGGCTCTTACCTGACCTTTATTTCCTGCGTTTTCAACCGCAGCTGCTTTGCGCGACACAGCTGTGGTTGAAAAAGCAGGAAAAAAGGGCTTTTCCAACCGCTGCGCACTTGCACACAGCGCTGTTCAGCTGTCCGGGAAACTCAGCAGGTCGTAAATTGCTCTCGCATGACTTGCGCATGTGCGCGCGATGCAGAGCCACAGAACCGGTAGTTATATTGATCGGATCCCATCCCTGACTAGAAGACTTCCAAGGTCCCTTCCAACTCTACTCTACTCCTTGAGATAACATTTTAGAAAATAAATATATAAATATCTTACCCTAAATACGCATTCATGCTCTGAACATTTTCTGGAAATAGTTTCCCATTCTCCTCTTTTATGATGGTGTTTCTTATATTGTTTAACTGTAAAATAATAAAAAGTAACCTATGCTATGAAAATATAATTTTATAATGCCCAGATATAAACAGCATAATACATGTTATGTAAACATTTACATTAATAAAAACAAAACTTCCTCAGTCACAAAACACTAATCAACATTTCATATTTTTAGAAAAGCATTCAATATTTAACAAACTACAGAAACTACATGTTAAGTTTGTTTCTTTGCAATTATTTATCACATATTTTAAAAAACACTTGCCTGTTTGCCATGAAGTTTGAAGTGCTGCTAACCTGTAAACTGAGTAATCTTTTTCAACCATGGTAGCAAACCACAGGTTAAAATATAGAAAGAGTTATTGAGCTATCTACTGTATTTATCTGAATTTAACCCCATATTTAGGCAACTGAGTAGCTGAAAACAAACCTACTCTTTTGATTTTGCTTGCAGAGTTGTTGCTATTGATAAATCCGTCAATTCATCTGCAGCACATATACAATTTATATCCAGATAAATTGTTGAAATTAAATAGAGTCATGTGAGATTGTTTGCAATGAACCACTTCAAACCTGTAACTTATATTCTTTTTAACAAAGTGGTGAATGATAAGTTAGACACAAAATAGCATAATGGTGTTGCAGATTTGGAAAGGTGGTTGAAGAACAGAGAAGATTTCACCTATAGGCATCAAGGATTTTGGCTATAGGCTCTGAACTATCAAAGATGCTTCCATTTCTTGAGTCCACAATTGAATGAAGTTCATTGTAAGAAAAAGCTAAGTTGCAGGGATATACAGTCTTACTAATAAGCTTCATTTAAGTACATATGCAGAAGATTTTATGGTACTTTATCAAGTATAATCCCCTTTTAATGATAGATCTATTAAAAAAATAGATTTAGGACTATACTGTCTATTAAGTTTGTGCACTACTGGTACACACATATACAAACATACACTCATACTATATGATACATGGTATTAGGGAATTTCAGTGACTGTGGTACCTGGTATCAAGTTGGGAAATAAGAGTTTAATGAAAATACCATGACTTCGATCAGGATTCAGGGTCATATAGCAATCAAAACTTTTTTTATTGTACCAAACTTAGTAAAATTACCAGTTGTAAACAATTAGCATTTTATAAAATATTGAAATACCTCTCCCATCAAATCATCACCAGTAATAACAGCTATCTTCAAGTCAACATTAGCATTTCTGGCAACTTGGTGAAGAGCAGCAGCACACCCAAGTGGATTCATACCACCAGCATTACTAATAACACGAACACCTAAAGAAGATTAAAAAGCTTCAAACAGTTGGCATATAGCTAAGACATACACGCAAACCCTAATTTAAGGGACTAGTGAGAACAGATACCTGTTAAAACCAAATGCTTATTTCCTGTTAACAATGAATGGCCCTTCTGAAGAGACCTGATTCACCAGATAACGTCTTTGTATTCAGCATATTTTATCTATAACATGCAGTCAGTTAAACCTAGATCTATTAAAACCAAGGCTTACTATCATTTGATTTCTCATTAAGTTGCTCAGACTCTTATATATGTAATTACCTACCAAATTACTATAAATTATTGTAATAGCTTATTCTATTTAGACTAAAAAGTAACAAATATCTCATGATTGCCCTCAGATTTTTTATTTATAAACTGAAAGAGAATTTTAGAAATAATTGTAAGGACTGAGAGCCTTTGTCATGCTGCCATCTTCTTCCCATCAGAAACTGCATTTGACCCACAGATTCCAATATATAAAATTAGATTTCATTTCTTGTATTTGAATTGGAAAATTCTGAATTAACAAGTCAGAAAATCGATTAGGCTGCTTTATGAAAAAAGAAGGTAGCAACCAGGCACATCGTGGAGTGTAAAATATTCCATATGAACTATCCTGTGTATGGAACAGCTAGTTTTGAGAAGTATGAATTTGAGATATGTGTGTTTCAGTCAGACTTGGTTCCACAAAAGGCATTCCAAAAAAAAAATTAGCTTGGAATGGAAAAAATAATCAGTGATGACATCAGGAGGAAGTGGGGCAATAGAAGAATAAAGAAATGTCTTGGATATGCCAACTATCGGTAACATGGTAACAGGAAGGTATGAAAAAAAAACTGTTAGAAAAATGAGATGTGGATCAGCAGCTTGGACATGCTGTTTTATATATATAATAGGAGGTAAGAAAAATAAATTGCTGCAAAGATGGAGGGGTTGCTTGTGACAAGCTTGGATGTGCTTTGATTGGGTAATGGTGGTTATGGAGCAGAAGGAAAAGGGAGGGGATGAAGAGGTGAGATGGTGGCTTGAATACCCAAAGCAAAGAACCTAATAGAAGACTGGTGGGTGGGCAGACTGATATGAAGAAATGAAAAAGGACATCACTTGGCGGCTGGCCCCCTGACATATGGAGAGGGGAGAGGAAATGAGATTCATATAGGTCTGGTGCCAGATTTTGGTTCTGACTGTCTTAAACATCTTGGCAGAAATTCTGGACCAGCTTGAACCTGCAGACTAAGTGATCAAAAAACCAAGGATTGTTTGTGACCTGACATTTGAAGAAGCAATGAAAGGCAACAGCTGTAACTGAACAGACAATGAACCAAGACTCCAAATAATTAAATGTAATATTTCAGAACTGTAAATTGGAAGAAAGAATAATTGTGACTTCTTAGTTAATATAAACATGATTATAAACATCAATATAAAATTATGACTTCTGCTTAAAATACAAACATATGCCCAACATACCTTTCCTGCAAATGTCCTTTATATAAGGAGCCATTGCAATTGATACAAAATCAGGAACGTATCCCAAATCCTAAAAAAAACACCAAATAAGCATTTTACCAGATAACATATTATTTTATGTTGTTCATTTCAGTGCCATAAAACCCTCCTTAGTTGAACCAACTACAGGTAGTCCTGGACTTACAAATGTAATGGAGCCTGCCCATTCCATTTGTAACTCAAGGATTCGTGGGAGTGGATCTTATACCTCTCCCGGCTGGTTGCAGGCCAAAATAGAGCCTCTGGGAGCGAGATCCAGCCCTCCAATGCTCTGTTCAGCTCTCCGTGGGCCTCCCCACAGCCTACTGCAAGCCGAAATGGAGATTCCAGGGGCTGGGGCTGAGCCACCAGAAGCTCCATTTCAGCTTGCAACAGGCCAGAGAAGGCCCACAGAGGGCCGAACAGAGCATTGGAGCGCCAGATTCGGCCCCTGGAAGCTCCGTTTTGGCCAACAACGGCCCGGGGGAGGCCCACAGTGGGCCAAATAGGGCTTCTGAGGGGCGGATCCTCCCCTCAGAAGTCCATTTCAGCTGGCAACAGCCCAGACAATGCCTCTGGACTCCAGAATGGGCTACTGAGGGGTATATCCTCCCCTCAGAAGCTCCATTTTGGCCTGCAACAGGATAAGGGAGGCCCATGGAGGGCTGAATGGCGCTTCGGAGGGGCGGATCGTCCCTTCACAAGTTCCATATTCAGTCGGCAATGTGCCAGGTGAGGCCTTTGGACACCCAAACAGAAGCTCCATTTTGGCCAGCCACATGCCAAATGAATGTTGCAGAGCCTCTGCAGTTGTTCGTAAGGGTAAACAACTGCAGTGGTGCTGCAAGATTCATAGTTTCGGGCCTTCTTCACAAACATTAGGAGACGCTTTTTGCATAACTTCAAACATTCACTAAGGGAATGCTAGTAACCTGGGGATCACCTGTATAAAGTTTCAATTTTTCTCCAAAACAAAATCCAATTAAAAAGAAAAAGAAAAGCCGTACTGTATTTCACACAAGATTGTTCTTTAACTGACAAGTGTAATTAAACCTTAACAATACTAATGTCCTGCAGATTTTATAAAATCACACTATAAATAATACATCTGCCTGCAGAACAAATTCACCTTCCTTACAAGCAGTCCATCTCAAACATCCTTGGTTGAGGGACTTATAGGGCAGGCATAAGAAAGCAGTATGGAATAAAAGAATTGCTTATTTTGCAAACTTAAGTCCATTCCTATAGCAAAATCCATTTTTCAAAGTCAGAAAATCCATTAAATTGTTGTGTATTGATTTTTATAGACATATGCATGCCTGGAGCCATTTAAAAATCACTATTCTAGATTGATAACTCTCATTCTAAAGTATCAATGCAATCTTCCCACATTATTTAGGGGAGTACTTTTCCGTTTAGTGACCTATTGCTTTTTACAATGTTACCCATCATTGCTTGACAATGTAAAAAGCCTGCTATGTTGTAAGAACTGGATGATTCCAATAAGTGCTGCAAGTCATTGGTAGGGAAACAGCTGAAATTAAAGTAGGAAGATCATGTACCAAATCATCAGCAAAGATCTTGTTCTATTTCTAGATATTTTCTTTTTGCAATGGACACTACAATTCAGCTCCAATTTTTTCCCCCCCAAACTCAGAACATTTTTATGCTGGCACTTCTGACTAGAAATTTTGCTAGTTAATTGTTTCTGAACAGTAAAATTAATTGAAGATCTGGTTTCCGACATGTTCTCTGTAATAAAAATACTTTAGAATAATTCCCTTGAAATTATTTAAGTGTCTCTGATTATGTTAGAATTCAATCTTACTCTTTCTTAAGCAAATTTTCCTCTTGGCATAGATTTTTGCAGTTTGACTCTACAAGAAATATTTCTGAATTGTTGGACTTCCGGTTTGTCGGCTTCGCGAGCGGCAGGGATTTGCGACTCTGCGCGATCCCTGCCGCGCTAGCCGCTTCTGGGGCTCCGACCCAGACGGGTACGGAGCTAGGCTGCCCTGCAGGGGCAGCTGAAGGTAGGGGGGATCCGGAGAGGGGTTTGGGGGTGTTGCAGACCCCCTCCCCGGCCGGCAGAACCCCCTTTTCCCAGGACGGTGCAGCGGCGGTCTGTAATGGCCGCCACAAAGAAGCTGGCAGCCGGGTAAGAATGCGCAGGAGGAAGTGGAGAAAGTGCTTGAGAGGAGAAAGTTTTTCTTGGCTCCTAGGACTCTAAGACATATTTAATAAAATTCCTGAAAAGTATGACTTTCTGAATAATACCTGCCAGAAGAGGAAAAAAGCGGCTGTTTGAAGGTGCTGAAAGGATAGCTTTCCCTCTTTTCCTACGGAATAAATAACTGGATATTAAGAAACCTATTTTTTTTAGGTGAAAATTGGTTTTAAGCGATGAGTGGGAAGAGAGAGGATTAAAAAGAAAATATTTGTATGCTAAGACTTTGTTGGAGCAGATGCCTTAAGGATTTGAAGACTAGAATATATTGCAATAAGATTTTAAACAGATTTGGACTTTCTTTCTCTTTGATTGATATTACCCCAGAAGGAGAAAGTGAGAACTCTGCCTTGGTTTGGACTGATTGATAACTTTGGGACTGTTTTATCTTTTTTATTTTCTTTTGAATATTCTGGTTGTTGTAAGAAGAAAGAAGGAGAAAAGAAAAGATTTATAATGGCTCTTTCTGTTGAGGAACTAAGAAAAGAATATGAACAAGCAAAAAAAAATGGTAAAGATGGTGTGGAAGAAGCTTTCCTTTTTTTAGAAATGGCGCTTATTAATTATCAACAAACATTACAACAGATGAAGACAGCAGAGGAACAAGAAAGAAAGGAAGGAGCCATTTTTAATGAATCTCAGAATTTGATCAAGAAAGAAGGAAGAGAGAAAGAAAAGAAAAGAAGAGAAAAGAAGAAAATTAAAGGACTTAAGGACTTAAGATCTAAAAAAACATTTAAGAAAGGGAAAAATAAGGTGCAAAACCAATATGATGATAGTAAACAAAAGGGAAAAGGAATACGACAGAGAAGGGAAGCCGGTAAGGCAGAGGCTAGAAGAAGGGGGGGTAGAAAGGTTTGTTGGGAGAAGAAAGAAAGGGAAAAGGTGGAGAAAAGCTACAATGTTTTGAAATTAAATGAAAAAAAGGAATTTTTTATGGATAATGGATAAAGTATAATTTTTAAAAAAAAAAAAGATTTTGCAAGGTACATAAGATGAGATGGTAGTATTGTAATGGTTTAAGAGTTGATAAGAGATTAAAATGTTAAAATGTTTAAAAATGATTGGCTTTAAAATTTAATAATAGGGGAGGTTTAGAATACTGTTTTAATTAAAGAGTTTAATAAGATTATGGTATTGATGTTATTATAAAATTTTTATTATAGTATCTTTTTTTAACACTTGGATTTATTGTCTAATTATGTACTTAATTATGTTGGATGTATTAGTTAGATAGAATGTACCAAGCAAAATCGGATTGGGTATTGGATATTATTTTAAAGATTAATTTGATTAACTTAGGGGGGAGATAGAAAGGCATCATACTCTGATTAATGATTTCAGGAGAAACTTATTTTCTTCTTTTTTATAAGGAATGAGACAAAGGGATGATAAAAAATGGACAAAAGATACAAATATAATGATTCAAACTAAGATGATTAATTAAGATAGAATTAAGAAGTGTGAAATATGTGGAGAAGTTAATATAGAAGGTTTAGAATGGTAAATAAAATAAGTAATGATATGTAAGATGAGCATGAATATAATTGAAGTCCATGAAGAGAGAGACACCTGGGTCCAAGTTACTTTCCAAAAAGATTTTTTTTATGTTTTGTGTGTTGTGTGTATATGTCTTTTTGGGGGGGAGAATTAGTAAAAACTTGTAGAAATATAGAATGAGAATAATGGTAACTAAGTCAGAAAGAAACAGATGAAATAATAATAATGATATTGAGTAAGAGTAAAGAGAAGTAAAGAGAAATTGAATAAGAGGTTTTGGTATGTTATATGGAAATGGTTTAAAACAGAATCATAATTTATCTGACTTGTTAAATTTACAATGAAAAAAGGTAATGAATGGTAATGAATGTAATGAATAATGATAATTTGTGTGTTTTAAAAATTAATAAAACTTGTTTTAAAAAAAAAAAAAGAAATATTGCTGAATTGTTCAGCTGTAGAAAAAAAATAAGCAAGTCCTTAAGAAATGCAAGATCTAAAGTTATTAATATAACCATAATGCAAGTAGAGCTGCAGAGAAAGTACATTTTAGATTGAAGTAATTAAGTTTACAGTGATCTGTTTCTTTCAAATTTTACTGTTCTAGCATTTCAAAAATTCTAAACAAAGTAGATCAGTTAAAAGTTATGTTACACAAAACTTACAGCTTTAATAGTTCATAGGTATATTCTTTTCTAGGTTTTATTTTCCAAAAATTGCAAAAAATTACTTACTGGAGATTTGGCTTTGGCCCTAGCTAGTAAAGACATTGTAATTTCAGAAAGGTAATCAAAAACCAGGAAATCCAGCTTTCCCCTGTAGAGCATTTGAGGAACTGATAAAAGAAAATCAAGAGAAAAAGATTACAAACAGAAACAATTCAAGATGCGGCCTTTCATTAAGCAAACAATATTAACACTGTGCTGAAAACTGACTTTAATATGGACAAATATTTACCCTTAAACAACATAATGAAAAATAATTACTACTATCCTTAATAAATTTAATTCACAATAAATTCCAAAAGTTGCTCCTCTTTGTGTTATATAGAATTATAAAAATGTAATTCAAGAAACAAGATAAATGTACATATACTCCTTTCCATATGAGAGGATTAATTTTTTAAAGCTCAATGCCAAATCTCAAGAATTCTTGATTTGGTTTTATAAACCCTGGCTTTTAATTCAAGGCTTATGTAGTGATAACATATTTCTCAAATATCCATGAAGCTTTTCATTAAGATACAGGGTACTAGTTTTGTCTCAAATTTACTTTATTAGTAAACCAGATGGAATTTCACCTTACCTATCAAATGTGCTTTTAGCTATAATCCAATCCACTTCTTTGGGTAAAAGCCCCACTGTTTGAAGTCATGTTTTTCAAACTTTGGCAACTTTAAGACGTTTGGACTTCAACTCCCAGAATTCCCTTTCTGATTGTTGAAGTCCACACATCTTAAAAGTTGCCAAGTGCCTATGAAAATATATTTTCAGTTATATTTTGTCCATGCTAACCTGAGAAATTACTCTTTATGAACTTTGCCTTCATTCTTATAACATTAGGTTGTGCATGTCCTTTGACTTGCTTGCTGTACATCCCCTTCCAACATAACTGTCCTTTCCTACTCTGTTTCCTAAATTCACAGAATGTTGTATAATGGGGATAAAGGAGCTCTCAGCTTTGTTTTTCATTCATTCTTAGCCATCATCCCTCCTGGGTTCAATTTTTTTTTTACTCTCTGAAGATCATCTTGTTAAATGTCAAACATTCACTCTTTCAGAGGCTTAAAAATATATAGTATAAGGCAAATGATTAATCTTTCAACAACTCTCCCAAACTGCTCCAAAAAAATGACAGTGATCAGGTACTCCAGTTTATTTTCAGATCATGCATGTGAAAAAAAAAGTTATCTTGAAAGTTCCGGGCCATGGGAAGATTTGTGTTTTGACTTGTCCAGTTCAAGACTCCAATGCTCAGGAGCGGCATAATGAAGTAAAGGGAAGTTGTTTTGGGAGAGGGGAATCTGTCGGAAGGCCCGTGGTGAAAAGGCGCAACGTACAGAATGCAGACGGGCTCCCATTGGGATATTTGCAGCACCGTGAAGTCGGGCAAATTGATAAGGGCACAAATACAAATAAGGGCACAAATACAAATAAGGGCCATAAGTCAGAAGGCAAATCGTCGACGGGACGTAAGGTAAAAAGTCGTACGGCGCATGCGTATATTCGTCAGTCAGTTCATTTGAGATTGAGAACTGTTGGCGAGTTAACTTCCCGTCATGGGAACGTGACGGTGGAGCGGAGAGTGTTTTCCGTCCCCCGGTTTTTCGAATCAGATTTTAAGTTTGCGGAGATTTCGCCCTATAAGCCGCCCTAGGAGCTGCCTGTCGACTGGCGTAAAGAATAGGGCCTGTGCTTTGCGGCGGAGCCTGCCCCTAGCGCGGCTTCCTCGGAAATACCTGCTGCCGCCGTGTCTCCCCAGAAGCCTGAGGCGCAGCCGATCCGCACCGAGCGCGGCTGAGGAGCGCCTGGTTCGCTGCTACAACGGCGCCTGCAGCTACAGTTGTTCCCCGTCCACAGCCAGGAGACGGCGGTGGCCCGAAATCCTAAGAACGCGCGACGGTGCATGTTGGCGTCTCCTCAGCAGGCGCGGGCGGCCCTGGGCGGGCTTTTCTGAGGGAAGAAGTTTTGTGGGAAAGGCCCGCTTGCGGCCGCTGTCAGTCACAACACAAATTCTCTCCTCATCTTTTTTTGCCGCTGGACGATTTAACTATTTTTTTTCTGCGCAGAACTTCGGAAATGGCCCCTGCTTGTCTTGATAGACGAGAAGTTGAAATAGGTATATTGAAGATGTTGCCTAAAAACTCGGGCGCCGAGTTTGCGCGGAATCCTATTCCCTGCATTTGAGAGAGAATGGCTGTTTCCGCCCCGTTAAAGGGGCTTGTGTTTCTATAGAGTACATAAAACAAACGACACATTTGGTCTACGCGAAGCAACAATAAAAAAATATTGATTTACGCTTGAGAAAAGACATGTTTCATTTTTTTCCTTCAAGAGTAAACTATTTTTTTGTATGTAAAAATGGCTAAAAAGAAAACATGTCTTTTGAGCGTAAGAAAGCATGGCTGCCATGCTAAAGTGCTAATATCACCTTTATTAAAAAGTATAAAGCGTACAATTCTAGGTAACAAGCAGGCTGCCGTGTTTTCTCAGAATTCTTTCTGCTGCTGTATATTCTTATAAATTGCATCCAACTAAAATCCTTGGAGGTAGTTTTCTTAGCATGGAAATGTAAAGAGAACTAAACCTTCAGAGGCAAATGGTCCCCTATGCAGAATACAAACAATGAGCAGGATTGTCTAGGCTCCTGTTTTTATGGCCAGAAACACAACTGGAACCCAGTCAGTCCCTGCCAACTACAGTTGTCAGGAGATCTAATGTTTAGACCAGTGGTCGCCACTGGTGGTCCGTGAGAAAATTTTGGTGGTCTGCACAGAAATGTCACCCCCCAAAGCAATTAATCCAGGCTGCCCAGGAACACAGGGCTGCGCCACCTACATGGCCCATGGGAACACAAGGCTTGTGTCGCATTGTGAACAACATGTAGTGAGGGGAGGGGGAAAGGGCAGAGGGGTGGGGGAGGCCACCGGGCTGCTTCTTTCCACTTCTGCTTTTGGCTGCACGCAAGGAAAGCAGCAAAAGTCTTTTCCCCAAACTCTGCCAGAAATGAGTGGTACCTTGCAAGGCATCCTCCAAGAGGCTGCGCCGGCACAAGTCTCACAAAGACTCATTTCTGGAAGAGTTTGGGGGAGAGAAAGAAAGACTTCTGCTACTTCTGCTGCTTTCCTTGCATGAAGCCAAAAGTCTCTCTCTCTCCCCCTGAGAACGGAGCTGGAGACGGTATCCTGCGATCCCAAATAAAGAATGATCAATCGGTAGGAAAATGGGGTGGGGAATTTTCTTGCAGACTTTTTTTCCTGCAGCCACCGTCAGTCAAAATTCATATTAGTGATCCGTGGGATTTATAATTATGAGTTTGGTGGTCCCTGGTTTAGACCACTATCATTAAGCCCAGATGTCCAACACTCCCAACAGATACTGGACATGAAAGCCTACAGTAGTATATTGAGCCTACAGTAGTATATAGAGCAAAGCTTTAATAGTAAAACAGACTGCAATTTACTTGGGAATAAAACTAATCTTCATATCTTGAAGTTGTAGTTTGTAGAACAATTGTCAATAAACTTTTAAAAATAGATATTACTAGTGGGAAGATTGAACTTAAGCTTTCTATATATGAATCATGCTGCAATTAATCTCTTTCATACAACCTGATGGGAGATCATCAAAGAGACCAGGAGCTACACGGGGAAGATGAAGAAAAAACTTCCCAAAAGAAAAAGAAGTGTTTATTTGAGGCAAAATAAAAAAAAATGGATTCCTACAAAGTTGTGCAAAATTGACCTCAACTGGAAGAATGTTTGTTATCCATATAGACAAGAAAGGGTAAGTCAATGATAAAACATTTCCAGGGCAGGGAGAGGAGAAATCTAGTGTCAAGAGCGGGTGGATGCAGCTTATTGGGTTTTTAAATAAAATATGTATGGAAAATATCCAGAATGGAAATTTTAATAAGAAAACGGGCAGAACCTTTCTTGAGCTATTAGCATCAGGTTGGTTAAATAGATTCTTTACAGATTAGCAGAGTTGGAAGGGACCTTGTAGGTCATCTACTCCAAACCCCACCACCACCCAAGCAGGAGACCCTACACCATTTCTGACAGTCCAATCTCTTCTTGAAAGCCCTCCAGTGAGGAAACTCCCACAACTTCTGAAGGCAAGCTGTTCCATTGGTTGATAGTTCTCATTTCTAGGTTGAATCTCTCCTTGATTGGTTTCCATCCATTATTCCTTGTCTGGCCTTTGGGCGCCTTGGAAATTAGTTTGACCCCTTCCTGTCTGTGGCAGCCTCTCAAATACTGGAACACTGCTATCATGTCTTCCCTGGTCCTTCTCTTCACTAGACTAGCCATGGCCAGTTCCTGTAATCATTCTTCATATGTTTTAGTCTCCAGTCCCCTAATCATCCTGGTTGTTCTTCTCTGCACTTTTTCTAGAGTCACAGCATCTTTTTTATAGTGTGGTGACGAGTGGTGGGATTCAACCGGTTCATATCTATTCACTAAAACCAGTTAACTTTCTAAGCAGTTCAGAGAACCGGTTGTTGGAAAAAAACTCCTTTTGTTACTTTATAGGGCTAATCCTGTAAGGAATGCAGGAAGGAAACATTCTTGTTGTTTCTTGGTGTTTCTAACCTAATCTTTATTGCCCTGCTTACTGAAACCACCTTTCAGTTAAAGGGTCTTCAAACTTGGCAAGTTTAAGACTTGTGGACTTCAACTCCAAAATTCCTGAGCTAACATGACTGGAGGAGGAATTCTGGGAGTTGAAGTCCACAAGTCTTAAAACTCTCAAATTTGAAGACCCCTGAGTTAAAGGTTCTTGGCAGTACACACAGACTTACTGTTGCCTGAGCTCTGGAGTTTTTTTTTCTCTTTGCTGGTACTTTGCTGGGGCTTGACTTTCTTAAAGGGGAAGGGTTGTTTTGCTTTTTATACTGCTGTTGGGAGGAAATACTCTCCTGTTGGAGTTCTTCCAGCCGGGATGCAATGATCAACACTTTGAAGAAATAATTGAATAATGAAGCAGAGCTGTCAGAAAGAAGCTTTTAATGACAAGGAACCAAGATGAGTGACATTCAGCAAGCTAGCTAGAAAGATTGACATTCAAACGTGATTGTTATATACCCTTTCTCAGTTTTTGTCTAAAACTGGTTTTTGGTGAAGTTTAATTCTGTGCTTGGTGAGGTTTAATCCTGTGTTTATTGATGGGATAAATTTCCTTATTCAGCTTTGTTTGGAAGGAAAAATATTAATCTCTGTTCCTGAAAAGAAGCAGGGTTCAGAAATCTGGCTAGTTCCTGTGTCTATTCTGGTTTAGCAAGCAACAGCTACTGTGTTTGCTCTTTTGCTACATTCTAGCACTAATTGCTTTCTTTGTAGTTAGGTTTATCTCAAGTGTTTACACTTGAGCTTGCCTGGGGTGTCAGCAATGAGCCAGTAAAAGTCTTGCGTTTTAGTTCTAAAAAGATTTAAAACTGTTGTGATTTAATTATTTGTATTGTGTTTGAATTTTTTCATGCCTCATGGTTTCTTTTTCTATCTGGGGAGGTCTTCCTCCACTACTTTAGTGGTTCCTGGCACTGTCCTTTTGGGGTGTACTTTCAAGAGGCAGGATGCAAGCTTGGCACTGATTTTTTTAGTGCCTTTCTGGGAGCATGAGATATTTCCTTAAATCTGGATGATTTCCTTAGGATATCTTGTGAGGTGAGTGAGACCAGCTGGTATCTTTATTATTATTTTTAAATTTAATTGAACTTTTCCACATTTTAAAAACTCATATACAATCTTCTCAGCATTATGACATTGACTTTTCCAATTGGTTTAAAGTCTAACCAATTATACCACTTCTCCCAGACTCTATATTTCATATCTTCTCTATCTTGCAATTCCAATGTGAGTTTGACCATTTCTGCACAATCCATTATTTTCTTTAATATCATACTATTGGGAGGGAGGGTATTTACTAATTTCCAATTCTGTGCGTAAGTGATTCTTGCCGCTGTCAATATATGTATTATTATATATTTGATTTCTTTCTTAAATACTTCTCTAATTATTCCTAAGAGAAACATTTCAGGTTTGAGTTCAGTTTTTTCCTGCAACCGTTTCCTTATCATGGTTCCAATATTTTATTGCTTTGGGGCAAGACCACCACATATGAAAGAAGATACCTTGTCTGTATTTACATTTCCAGCATTCTGGACTCATGTTTGGATATATTTTGGGCAATCTTGCCGGTGCTAGATGCCGAACATTTTATAAAGATTTTCCTTATAGGCAGCCACCCTTGTTAATTTTTAGTTTTTAGACCACAGTTTTTCCCATTCCTCTAATTGAATGTTGTAACCAAAATTTCCTGCTCAGGCTATCATATTTCCTTTAACTACTTCCTCTTCCCTATCAGATCTAAGTAGATAATCGTACATTTTGGTTATAAATTTCTCTTCTGGTCCTAATACAATTTTATCTATTTGTTGTTGTTCCCTATCAATACCAAATTCTTTAAATCTTTTTTATATCTTGTCTGCAATTGTAGATAGGGCAACCAGTCTATATTTATTCCCTGTTCTCTCAATTCTTGATTTGTTTTCAATCTTCCTTGGTTGTCTAACAGTTGATTGTATCTTATCATTTTGGTTATGTCTAGTGTGTTTGGGTAGATCATTGCTTCCATTGTTGATAGCCAGCCAGGTATTTTAATATAGTGGTTTTTTTTAATTTTACCCCAGACCTGTAATAATGCATTCCTAATTAAATGATTTTGAAAGTGTGAATGTGTTTTATTCTTTTTTTCCCAGAAAAAGGCATACCATCCTGTCTGTACGTCATGTCCTTCTAAGGTTAGTATTCTTTTATTGATTAGGAGTATCCACTCTTTAATCCATGCTAGTGCTGCTGCATGATAGTATAGTTCCCGATGAGAGAGTCCGAAGCCACCTGTACTTCTATATCCTGTAATAATTTTAATTTTATTTGGGGTTTCTTCCCTGACCATACAAATTTAGCTACCATGTTTCTCCAACAATACGCCCCCCCCCAATAGGAAGACCCAGCATGTTTTCTAGGCATAAAATGAAATTAAGCCCCTTCCCCCAAATTTAGGGCTATTTTAAAACATGCGAAATTGGGGGGGAAGGCGGGGAGAACTTGCCATTAGGAGTGCCCCATGGGCAGCTATGCCTCACCATCAGCTGCTCC